CGTCCTTGCTCCTAGTAGCGATGCCAGGAGCCCCTAGTAGCGTCCTTAAGCCCCTTTGGTACAAGCTGTGCACTGCAGCCCTCCATCAGCGGAGCACGGCCGTCGTCCATGCCATGGACTGGAACCTGTTCTTTCTGCTGCTCCTTTCGACGATAGCTGCACGGCTGTACCTATCCGGTCCCAAGTCCGGACCCGCTCTGATGCTTGCCTTTCATGATGACGAGTTTCTTGCGCATCAAACAGAAGAGTTTTTCTGTGACCTTTGGAGCGGGAGGGGTGAGGGTAGAGCGGTGTCCATGAACCGCTCGGAAAGGGATACGTGTTTTTCGGTTTTGTCAGATACCCCTGAAATACATGGAACAGGGCATGCAGCGTCCTCAGGGACCTTACCGAGGGCCTCACGCCGCACAGTTAAGAGATCTTTCGCTCGAGCCCAGAGGAGATTGCTCCAAACTGGCTTTTGCATCTATCGTGGACATGTTCACACCCAGCCTCCAATGGCACCTGCAGTTCACTCCTCTTCGAAGAGGAACGGTCCGAGACCATCACAGGCCAAGGGCCCGCGACTAAGCTGCATGACATGGAATTGTGGAGGTCTGTCAACAGAATCATACAATGAACTTCTCACCTGGCTATCACTGCACAGGATCGATATATGTTTCATTCAGGGCACCAGATGGGGCATCGCTGAACCGTGGGAGAGTCACGGGTTTGCTCTCATCCCAACGCCCAATCAGGCTGGAGCACATGATGGACTACTTACCGTTGTCCGCTCGCAGTTCTGCTCATCAGCCTCCATTAGCCATGTCACAGTTCTTGAAGGCAGGTTGCAACATATCAGGTGTAATCTTGGCACCATTACTCTTGATCTCGTAAACTGCTATCAACACCCGAACAATCCAGCGCGCTTTCGACCTGATCCCCTTCAAGCGCGTTTGAACTTTTGGCATGCCTGGGAGGACTTATTGAACAAGCTTCCCTTTCGAAACTTGTTGGTTGTTGCAGGTGACTTCAACTGCACGCTGGGGTCCACGACCCGTCGACATGTCCCAGATGCTCAGTTTCCAGATTGTGACAGCTTCAAGGCAGTGGTTGATCGTTTTTCATTAGCCTCCGTTCGGGTTCATGACTCGTATCCTAGTTACATAGGTCCGGCCGGTGAGTCTAACATTGACTACATCTTTGCCCGTCGCCCACAGCTTGATCAGATGTCACGACAAGCCCAATGCCTCAGGCGCTTTCCCCTGAACCAGCACCGCGAGTACCCTGATCATAATCCTATTGTGACCACCATTCCATTGAGTTGGAAGGCCTGGTACAGCAAGCCGCCCATGATGCGATCACATCTGTCCCATGCCACGGTCCAACGATTGCGTCAGGATTGGGAGACATGCTCTCCCCAGTGGCAGATCTTTGAAACTCAGATTGACGATCAACTGAGGCAGGCGGCACAGAACCGTACACCACCGCACCTTGTAACTAATAAAGTAGTTCATGCCTGTAATGAGCACTTTCGTAAGACCCCTGTTACATCAGAACCTGCATGGTGCCATCCACACACCAGGTCTCTGGTTGCCTTGAAGTGGAGACACCTTCATTTGGCGCGAAACTCTCAGCATCTCCGCCAGTCGATGCAATCACAAGTTTTTCGTGCGTGGAGTCATTTTGCCAAGTTCCACCTCCTCAGGACTCGACTACGTAAGCACTGTCAAGATCTTCGTAAATCCAAAGTTCAACGAGTCATTCAAGAAGCAACTCAGGCGGCTGTTCGACATGATTCACGTAGACTGTACATGGCAATCCGTCAACTCACACCCAAACAACCAAGGAGGCAGATTAGGTTTCGTAACACCGGTACAGCCCAATCACCTCAGGAGGAGCTCAACACCTTGGTTTCTCATTTTGAAGCCATATTTCGAGCCACTTCCTCAGAGTTTCCACCAACTGAAGCCTTGGTCTTGCCTTTCACCCAGGATGACCTGGAGCATGAACTTCGAGCCACCAAGTCCCTTAAAGCGGTCGCACCAGGCACGATGCCTCCAGTCTTGATTAAGCACTTTGCGTCCGGTCTTGCCAAATGGTTGTATAGGTACTTGGAAGATGCATGGCAGTATGACCGACCTGTCATCCCTGCCACTTGGAAGAAAGCTGTGCTGACCTTGTTAGCTAAGCGTCCAGTCCATTGTCCCAATGACCTTAGACCCATTGCCCTAACATGCGGCCTCGGTAAAGCCGTACTAGGCACCTTGATCAAGACAACCCGTGCCTATGTTGCTGACAATCTGGCGGCCTTCCCGCTTTTTGCCTACACTGAAAGGCGAGGTGTGTTTGAAGCTCTTTGCTATGCCTTTGATCACTGCCATCAGGTCCGTGCGGCCTGTCTGCAAGCCAGACCCTCACATTGGAAGAAACAAGCGGGGCACTCAAAGCCAGTGCTCATTGGGGGCATGATGCTTTCGCTGGACCTGTCTCAGGCCTTTGACAGGCTTCCTCGTTCGTGTCTCTATGAGGGCCTTGTGACCTGCGGGTGCCCGA